AAATTCGGCTGCCCAACGGACTCTGTGGTTCAGACGATCTCCAATAGAGGAATTCAGAAATGTCTCAGAGTCGAAAAAAATTTAAACCATAAGTCCTAATCCTAATTATAGATTTCACTGCGTTAGAATTTTTTTTTCAATAGACTTAAATGTACACATAGCCGACGTTACTAATAGAACCTAACAACTGGTGTCAGAGCCCAAATTAATTCGTCTTTCTGCACTATTCGAATTAGGACTTGCGTGATATATATGAATTAATTGTGTTCGGGCGCAGCGCATAAGTGATTAGAATTGCAAATAAGTGTTGTTTGCAGGTATTCTTGAATCTGAATATTGTGGCCCAAACGTATATATGTTTTTAATTCATGTATATCGTTTCATAAGACTCGAACATGTCGACGATTTTTGAGTTGTGAATATTTGTTATAATTTATTCGCGCGGTGGGACACCGCATAGTTTAAATGCTTTACTAGGTCATTAATGTACGACCCCTGCGTGGACATAAGATCAATGTATATAATTGGTAATATGTAATTGTTCGTTAGACGCGATGAACGTGGACATCTCTCGGCGAGACGAGGCATGCTACCTCACGAACTCGCAGTAAATGACACACGTGGTACCGTGCACACGCAGACACGCTCGCCGGCAGCATGATGCCAGGCACGAGCTTTGTCAAGGCATATGAGCGACAGATACGCACGGAACGAGGACGACAGAAGTGCGGACGACGACGGCAGGAGGCATGCAGACACATACAAAGAAACGCTGCACGGGAGCGCGAATAACAACGACACTCGGCTGAGCATCAAGCGGTATAGCATCACTTCTACGATGACCGCTGTGCCACAAGTCGCGACCTTTTCACCGGTGACGGCTTCTCCGATGAATGCAACATGGATGCTAGTTTAAGAAGGAAAGTGGGAGTCACGGTGAAGAGGAAAATCCAAGTTCGGAATGTAATTGCAGTTCTACAAGGACAAACATTGTCATATTCCGAGCTGGATTAGAAGATTTATTGGCCATGATAGTTGAATTAATTTTTTAGTTTATTATTGCCTTTAATTATGCATGTCGTTATGTAATTTAATTGCTTTATGTGCAAATTAAATTATTAGGAGAATGTTTAGAAAAATCCCTTAATTTAAAATATCAAGTGTGTGTGGATTGAAAAAAATTGTATCCACTGCCTCCAATATAGGTTTGTAAGTGAAGTGATTTAAATTAAGCCCAAAAGACAGTTTATTTCATAGTTCTCAAGGATATATCTCCTTCGGGATGATAGTAGCGAGCTATTTCAAAGGCGTACGTCTCACCCAAAGGTGGACATATAAATTTGGTAGTAAGCTTAGGACCAATTAATGGGTTACACTTATATGTGCATATAGTTGTGATTTCCCAAAAGAAATGCTCAATCTTCTTTTGCATTGGTCAAAAAGTGAACCGACTATTAATTAGCTGTTGTTACGACAACATGTTAATAAAGATAAATTTCTCTTCTTGCGACGGTATGAAGCGTAGACGTCCACACTCCGTTGATTGTGGGGATTCAGTGTTTTGAGGTGTCGGTGAATTTATTTGAATATTGTTTTGGAGGGATCAGTATTAGAAGTTAAATTTGAAACACTTGACTGAGTAAAAACTATGTACATGATCCCAGTGATTCAAAAGATCTTTCAATCCATTGTATGTTAGTAAAAGATAGGTTACTTGGTCAAACATGATTAGAAATAGAACTTGGATAGTGTCCTATTTTGCTGAGAAATACAAGTTGGAGGAGAAGCCATATCCGGTCTAAGCAAAATGGACAAAGGAAGATGAATTGTCCCATCCTTAAGACAAGAAAGATAAATCTTAGTCACTAGGAAGTTAAAAACATTTTAGTAGTGTTATCTAACAGTACCTAGTGAATAGATACGTAACCACTTATTATGTAAAAAGGTTCTGGGAAACCAATCGACGTGTGATAAATATATTACCGTCTAGAATGGGTTTTCTATAGAAGTGGCAACTATTGTTGTAACGCCCGTTATTTTAAGAGAAAAATATCGAATATTTTTCTTCAATCAGAGTTAAATTTTTGCAAACCATTCTAAAATTTATTTAACAGACATTACTCAACTTTTCTCAGATAAAAAAACTTAAGCACCAAACAAGTAAAACATGCTTCAACGAATTTCAAACATTACCATCATTAACAAATTCAATTCATAAATCAAAGCATGTATAATATCCAAGTTTCATAATACAAACTCAAAACTCAACATTTTAACAATTCTGGCAGAAGATAACAATAAAAGCAGAAGCAATTGAACAGTTCAATAATCACAAGCAAGTATGAACCCGCTGCCACCAACTCACCCTGAAAGGGGGAGAAAAAGTGGAGGTGAGCCAACCAATTAGCTCACCGTAGGAGTATCATGCAGTATATTTAGTATAATGACGTTAAATAATAATTGCAGTATGAACGTAATCATCTAGTCTACCTCCTATACAGCCATACGCTACTGTGATCACATCTAACTGTCAAAAAACGGGTGCTAAACCATCCACCAATGGGAGATACACTCTCATTTGGTAAAACTAGGAGAACCATCCACCAACGGGACATACACTCTCGAAAACTAATGATTCACATGCATACATTGATTATCAAGCCAAACAATTATAGAGAATAACACACACGGTAAGGTTTATCAACACCCACATGTACCGATGACAGAAAGATATAACACAAAAACTCGGTAGGTAGGTAAGGCTTGACTCCTCAGAACCTACATTCAAATCAAAATAATATTTCAAAATACTTATCTCGATAACACGGAATTTCCCCTAAAATTCCTACTTAATCAAAATTTATCGATCAAGAAGTTTGTGGAACCCTTGTGAATTTTGGAACTCTCAGAAGATTGAAACAAGACTCGGAATAATGGTCACGAGGTTAAAATTAATGTTTGGCTCGAAAACTGGTCGAACGGCTCGAAGACGGACGAGTGAAAACATAATACAGAGGCGCAGATTTATAGCACTTTTATGAAGAGAAAAATGAAACATAGTCATGTTTTCTAAAACAATGAAATCTAGCCATTTTAGGGGTTAAAAGTACTATTATACCCTTATTAATGTTTACATACCAAAAATAAAAAAAAGAAAAAGAAAAAGAAAATTCTCAACTTCACTACGCGTTCCTCATTCATCTTCACTGCACTTCTCTCCTCTTCCCTGCGCGCACATCGTCCTGTAATAATAAAAAAAAAATCTCATCTTCCCGAAATTCACTAAAGTGAATTATCTCGACAAAATCATCTCCAATACCCCAAGTGAATCCCTTTTTTAGAAGAAAAAAGATACATAAACCTAAACCTATTTTTTTTTTACTTATGATAAAAAAAGTTTTTTTTGAAAGCATTTATTATTGTATTATTTATGTTCCCAAAATTATTGATTTCTCTTGCATCCTTTTATTTTGTTGAAGTAATATTTTTTCAGAGTTAAAAAATCGAGTTTTGTGCTTGAAAAAATGGGGTTGTTTAATGATACTGACTGTATCCTTGACATTTGCACTCTCAAACCTGGTATGGCTGATAGGATGTTTTGGTCTTTGGATAAAAAAGGGACATTTTCTGTAGCTAGTACCTATGATTTCTTGACTAAACAAAAGCTACTAGCTCTTGACCTTCCTGGTTGCAGCTCCTTCTCAAACAACCAACATAATTTCTTTGTCAGGTGCTGGAAACTGAAAGTGGTGGGTAAGATAAAACATTTCCTTTGGAAATGTATCACTGGTTCTTTGCATGTGAAACTCGATTTGGTGAAGAAAGGTTTGAGGTTGGATGCTATCTGTCAGACTTGTGGAAGTGAGACTGAGACTATTGAGCATGTTCTGTTTAATTGTTCTAAAGCTGGCAAGGTGTGGGATATTGGTCTGAAAACCTTTCACTGCATCATTCAGGGGGTGGTGGTCTCATATATGCTCAATTGCTAGATCTGACGTGGCCGAATCCAGAATCCAACTGACCACCTAGATGTTGTGGTGACTTTGGAAAGCTCGCAACTTGTGGATTTTTCAAAACACCAACCTCTCAGCTCCTCAAATAGTCAAGACTGCACATAGGCAGTGGCTGGAGTTTTCTCTCCTTCATGGTCAGTAACAGGTTTTAGCTTTGCTTGGGTTGTATTTCGTTCTGTTTCTTTGCTTCTATTGGATGTTTTCTTGCCCTCTAGGCTTCGACAGTGGAGAGCATGTTAGTTGCTGTTTTTTTTTTTAGTTTCTTTGGTTTGGCTAGTTTGGTTTTGTTTAGTTTGAGGTTCTAAGCCGCCGTTGCGCGTGTCCTCTCAGTTTTTAGTTCCGGTTTCCAGTTGTCTAATGTACCTTTTCTTGGAGTAATATATATCCTCTATCCTTTCGGAAAAAAAGAGGGGTCGTGTTTTGGAGTTCAATACTTTTGTTGTACCGTTTCTTGAGCCGTTTTTTGGAGTTTTAGGAGTTGAAGTAGTCGTTTGTTGAAGAATTAACAATTTTTTGAACAAAAAATAATTTCTTGAACAAGAAGGACAAGAAACAATTTTTTCTTGTTCAACACGCAATTTCCTGAAGAAACCTGTTTAATGCTTAAGAAACAGGTTTTTTGCTTTCTTGCTCAAGAAACCCATTTCTTAAACAAGAAGAAACATGTTTCTTGCTCAATGGGTAAATTGCGCCAAACCCCCCTGTATTATACGAAATATGCGTCTTATCCCCCTGTATTTTAAAAAATGCGTCATACCCCCTTGTATTATACTTTTGATTGCGCGTTATCCCCTAAAAATGCGTCATACCCCCTTGTATTATACGAGGAGAGGGGAGCGTGCGCAATCAAAAGTATAATACAAGGGGGTATGATGCATTTTTTAAAATACAGGGGGATAAGGCGCAGATTTCATATAATACAGGGGGGTTTGGCGCAATTTACCCCTTGCTCAATCAACAAGAAGAACCTGCTTCTTGAAGAATAAATGTAATGCCTCGATATTTAAAGATAAAATACCATATATTTTTCTAAAAACCATGATTTATTTTTGCAATTCATTTAAAAAAAATGTTTAACGGGCATTACTCAATCTACCTCATTTTCCAATTTACACCCAACGGACATTACTCAAAAACTATTATTTCTATCAAGACATCAGACATAAATAAACGTTTCAAAATAAACACGTTTCAATTAATTAATCTATAATTCAAACGTTCATATTTGAATATAAATTTTAGCAAAGTTTACAGAAATATAAACATAAATAAAGACGACCACGCCCGTCCTCTCGTGTCCGCCGCCAGCTCGATCAACCTGAAAAACAAAGGGGTGAGCACCCTCTCTCGGCTCAGTGGTAAAATTCATACTATGCATCGATTCAACATAAACACAAATAGAATAGTAATGATATAAACATGTAAAGCTTATTGCCTCACCGCCGCTGACTGATATCATCCCGGCTTCAAGCCTCTAGGTAAATTCGAACTAGTGACTCTTATTTCAAGCCTCCATAATTTACCCGGCTAATTAGCTATTATACGCCGTTGACCTAAGTTCATGAACGTCGGTATGGTTACTTACTAGTGCATTCGACATCAACCGATCTTGCTAATAAATAACTCTACTAGTGCCATTGGCATTACCCAGTCCCGCTAGTATAAAACTTAACGGATAATTACCCGCCCTAGTGACTCTTATTTCAAGCTACCATGGTAAAGTTCACATCGCACATTAGGCCCAACGGCCCACAATCACATGCATATAAAAACTATACTACTGTATGTTTATAAAGAATAAACCATAGTATAGAATCCCCACCTTTAAACTTACTGAGTGGTTGAAATGAATGAATCCACGTGCTTCTGACTGAGGGCTCGACTCCTCTCAGTCTACAGTTTA